ATTTTAGTGGTTTTCTCAAGTTTGGAGATGTGCAGAGAAATGTACAAAAAGCCAGTGCATCACACAATAATAATTGTATTTCATTAATTCAGAAATGTTGAAGCTGAATATAACATATTCAAAAAACTTGAGTCTCACCTGCAATAAGTTTGGGTTCTGCCAAGACCTGAGGGGACATAGACATAAACGTGCCATTTAAAAAAAAAAATTCACAACACAAAAGAAGAAAGTACAAAGTAGCCAACTAGCATATCATGTATTCTTTAATGGGATGTGGCAGGGTGTCCGTTCCATCCAAAGGACCACAACCCCTACCATTTACATGCAATTTCATAGTAAGAGACAAATGCAGAAGCAAGATTGCTATAATTTACAATGTAGTATAAACCAATGCCCCACGGTATGCTATACCAAGGACATTCTAATGTCCTTGGCTATACAAAGCATATGTGCAGCAAAAATACCGAACATAGTTGGAGTCTTACTTTGAAGAGGAACAGAAGTTTTCCATTCTCCACGTTAGACATGGCCTGGGTCAGTGCATCGACCGTGCCTGTAACCAGGCCGTCAAGCGGGCACTGGTCTGATGCAGTGAAGGTGTACTCCAGAAAGTACTGTAGAGTTGTGTCGCTCATGTTGGTGAAGATTTCGCTAACAAGTCTGCAAAACAAACCACAACAACTGCTGGAGTGTCTCTGATAATCTGCCAAGTGACCAGAAGGGAACATCTGTATACCTATATGTATGTGTGTGTTGGTAAAAGTTATTAAGCAAGTTTAAACTGCAATTTCCAACACAAGAAATTGGACATTCCTAAAATAAATTTTGCACTGTGCAGCTCCAGTCTTTGTCAAGGAATAAGGAATGTTTCATTGAGTTTACTTATAGAGCACGTTTTGTTAAGAAAAGACAAATCTTCTTCTCTAATTAGTAATACCAAAACATAAGTCCAGGATAGTACATGTAAATAACAGTAAAATTCCAAAAAATAGCAGTAAATGTTATCCTTATTACAGGGCTCAAAATACTTTTTTTCAGGTATGTGCAAAATTGCATATTGATAAAAATTTTAGGTGAAATTTGAAACATTTATGTGCAAAATTATATTTAGTCGGTCTGCAACTGTTTTCCAGGTTTATAGTGGTATACAATTTCAGATGGCTCAGTGGAAAGATCCTGCAAAAAGTTTACTATGTAAGCCCACAATAAATTAAGCTGACCTTCCTAGTTTGTGTTCAAGAAAAAACTTTAAAATACAAAGCTTTGAAACAAGAAGAAAAATATAAAAAAATTGCTATATTTCTTGGCATTAGCTTGAAGTTTCCAGGGTGCTGCTAGTGACTCCCCCGCCCCACCTACTCTCCACATGTCACAAACGCTAGAGTAACTTGACTGTTGGAACTTCCTAAAATTAAAAACATTTTATACCTTTATACGGCACATAAAGAAAATTTACCAACAGTCTGAGAGCACTAAATTATTTTTATTTTGCATATCTGTTTCCCTTGATTACCGTGCACGATATGTCAACTTGAAGTAAAATATACTGCTTATAAAAATAATGTATGGTTAATTTTTGCTTCTTTGCTGGCAACACACACCCCTCCCCCTCCTGCTCTAGGTGCAAAATTGCACATTCAAAGTATTTCCAAGTGCAGTTCCTAAAAATCATGTGCAATTTGCACAATGCACGTGGGTATTTCGAGCCCTGTTATTAGCTGTGACTCCAAGACAAGTATTAAAGTGTACCAGATGGGAATCCTTCCAGGAAAGTTCTCCAAGATCTGCCTCAGTGATTGTGCAAAAGACAGAACAGGTTTTGGCAATTTGCATATGTGTAGACACAGCATGGGGTCAGGGGTCACCTTTGACCCACTTTACCCTGGAAATGTTGACTTTTGACCCACTCTTAAACAGAACAGTCCAAACTTTTTCAGGGTTACTCTGGACTACTAGTAGGATAACTGACAATAAAAATAGCCATAGCGACAACAGAGCTAATCCAATTATTTTTGATAGCTTTAGTTACTGTGAAAAGTAGGTCATAGACTTACAAACTCATGTTGTATGGATGAATCTACTGATATATGTTCGTTGTGTGTAAACAGTTTTCTACATATATTGTACATGTTAAAGAAGAACAATATCTGCTTGGAGATTACATGAAACCCAAAGGCTACCCAGGAAAAATAAGTAAGGGAAAGATGGCATGTCCACTTAAGAGAACAAATTCAACCATGTAAGTGAGTGAGTGAGTGTAAAATGAATAATCATACCTTTTTTAAAGTCATCTAAAACCACAATCTTCTCCCTATCTTGTTTCTTGTTTTTTTGTTGGTAACTCTAGTTGTTTTGTAGTTTGTGTTTTTTTTTCTTTCTCAGGGAACTGCACCTTTTGATGCCACAAAATGCTAGTAGCTTGCGTTCTATCATACATTCTACATAAGCCTAACGTTACACATAATTCCAAACCATCATGATTTTTAAGACCTCAGTCATCCTTTATTTACCAAGAATCAGGGAACCTTGCCAAACTAGAGCAGGTTTCAGTTTGAGCATCTCTGAAAGAAAGGTGCATCAATTATCAGGAAATGGGGCAGCTACCTGTACATGAAGACAAGCCATGAAGGCAAGCAGAAAGTGCTAATGCCCTTGACTGTAATGAGCTCCAATTCTGTCAGTTACGATGGACTTTCGCCCCTTCACCCGATCAATATGATGTCAGATGGGCTCTTGTCAGCAGACTGTGGGAATAGGAAATAGCTGATGTAGGCATAAATTCTTGATAATGGCGACACCTAGGCAGTAGTATGGTGTGGGCAAGGAAAGACTTAGGTTTGGGAGGAAGGGTTTGGGAGAGATACACAGTCACTTACTCTACCATCCCGTCCCTGGTACTGGATGACACACACTAACTCTACCATCCCTGTCCCTAGTGCTCAATGACACACACTTACTCTACCATCCTTGTCCCTGGTGCTGAATGACACACACTAACTCTACCATACCTGTCCCTGGTGCTGAATGACACACGTACTCTACCACCCTGTCCCTGGTGCTGAATGACACACCGTACTCTACCACCCCTGTCCCTGGTGCTGAATGACACACAATTACTCTACCATCCCTGTCCCTGGTGTTGAATGACACACGTACTCTACCATCCCTGTCCCTGGTGTTGAATGACACACGTACTCTACCACTCCCTCGTCCCGTGGTGTTGAATGACACACACTAACTCTACCATCCCTGGCCCTGGTGCTGAATGACACACACATACTCTACCATCCCTGTCCTTGGTGCTGAATGACACACGTACTCTACCATCCCTGTCCCTGGTGCTGAATGACACACACTTACTCTACCATCCCTGTCCCTGGTGCTGAATGACACACACTAACTCTGCCATCCCTGTCCCTGGTGCTGAATGACACACACTAACTCTGCCATCCCTGTCCCTGGTGCTGAATGACACACACTAACTCTACCTTCCCTGGCCCTGGTGCTGAATGATACGCACCTACTAGTGAAAGTGCATCAAAATAAAGATATACATTGTTTTTTGTATTTGCGTATTATGTTTATTGTTACATGTTATCCTTTTTGAATTGACTAGTTTAAGACTTGACTGACATTTGTGAAACTGTTCACATGATTTTCAGGCCAGCTCTGGGACGGGGTGTCAGAGACTGCAGTTCAGTATCTATCTATAGTCATCACATTGAAGAAAAACAACTTGTGACAACATAGCAGGTAAATTCACTTCATATTAAGGACAGTCTTTGTAGCAGTCTTTGTAGCATCTGTTGATCACTTTCTGTTGATAATCAAGCTTGCATTATGTAGTAAAATAACATTTTTTTCTCTGATAGGACTGATTTAACTGTTTAACATGTTGAAAGATGTCCTATACTAGTACACACATCTGCATACATAACATGTATGTACATCACATACTGCATGTAATGTACCAAAGAGGCACGAGGCAAAAACTGTGCCATGTCCAAAATGGCTAATGGGAGGAAGAATGACAAATGGTTACGATCCTTGTTATGGCCAAAAGGTCAACCCCAGATCATGCTCTGTTGCATTTACTGCTTACTAAATAGAAAATTAAGGCAGTAACTATTTTCCTGATTGAAACCATTTTCTGGACCATTTTCTCTATGTATGATTATGATAGGTAATCTGAAAGGAAAATGCTACATTGTGTAGAACTACTAGAAATATCTATACACAAAGCACATTTACATGTATACCACCACATTTCTTCTTAGACTAGCCATCTCCATACACATGTACATGTATCCATTCAGTGTAAGGCTACTATAAGTTATTCATAGGACTAACCACATATTAGGCTATAAAAAGGAGATGATTAATCTTTATTCCAACAAGATTATGCTTGCTTTTTCCCTAAACATGATATATCAACATTATTACTGTTTTGTTATGGCTGACCACAGGCCATCTTTGGTTATCATTAGTGCAAACAAGCCAGCATATTTCTTCATTTCATTTTTTTGAGAAAGAAGAAGTAACTGACATGCTGTCTATGTCTCTGATGTGATATGTTTGTTGTTTCAGCTGTATTTGTCAGTGGAATAAAATACTTTGATGTAGCTCCTGATTTTCCAATTCAACTGCATCAAGCTTCTCAGAGAGACACTCAGACCGTAATGTTTTTCACAAAACAAAATTACCAAAATGCTAACCATTATCGAAACTCCCCATTATATACATTGAGAAGAACAGTATTAAACATAAATAGCACTGGAGTGGAATTAAACTGCAGTGTAAATCTGCTCGACTCTAGGCTTGATTTAAACACAGAGCGCCATGTCAGAGGGCGCAAATCAGCACTCTGTAATGATCTCATTTTCTGGCATGGCTGAGCAAGCAGGTCAGAAGGGGAATCAATTTTTATTGCCCAAGACGAGTGCATAATGCACAAGGAGGTTTTATTACTTTTCCCTGCTTTCTTTTGTTTTATAGTATAGGATTATACAAAGTGCGTGTGCATTTTGTAGTCAGACGGTTTGTTACAAGTGTCAGTGTCTATCAAACAGTCAAATAATCTGATGTTGCCTTGAGTTCATTTCAATTGATATCAGATCACAGACAAAGTGAAGTTGAAGTGACTTTGAAGCTATCAGTTTGAAAGTGACCAGAGGGAGAGATATACACCGGTAATGCATTTGAAGATATCCAACATCAAATAGAATGCTGAGAGAGTAAAAGTTCCCCAAGATGTACTTAAAGCTGTACATGTATGCTTTTAAAAGTTCAAGGATGTCAACACGAGCTGCCACAGGTGATGTATATGTCACTGATGTCTACCAACATTAAGTGATAACCCCAAGATTGATTCTGCCAAAGTCATGAGTTCTGATCATACCTGCAGACTACTCTGTACATTCAGTTAGCTACACTCACAGTTGTAACTTATAGGATTCTTTTCTACCAATTTTGTTGAATATTGGTACCATTTTTTGGAAGTCAGTAAGTAATTTTAATTCTTTTAGGGGAGGGGGGCTTGTGGTATCATCGAAAAACAGACAGATTTGTAGACAGACAAAAAGTCAGGAGAACAGAAAAATAATACCTGACAGGTGTTTCTGTGATAAAGGTAAAACTGAGATTGAAGGATATAAATTATACCATATAGTGTTAGGTTAGCATGGGTGTATCGGGACAGGCTAGAAGTAAGCATTGCCAGTGGCAAGAGGTGGGACCTTCTGTTTCCAGTGAATAGTAGTGTGCGTGGCCTGTGACTGACCCTCATGCATACTTAACAAAGTAACTTGAGCATCCAGGCTTGAGGAATAGGTTATTGAGGAGCTGGAATTGAGTCACTGATATTACAATCCTTTATGACTTTTTGAAATATTAATCGAAAGAAAATGGTGTGCGCAGTAGTTTCAATTTCGAGCGCTCCATTTCCTTGGAAGTAATATTACCTGGGATGATAGGCTGCTTTGAGGCGCCAATTTCCGAGGAATTGACGGCCATCTATTTCTGTCACGCTGCTGGTTGGACAGGCAATTTTCGCTGACAAAAGCAAGCTCAATCCTGCATAGCAAAATGATAGCACGTCACTGGAGAAGGGAATCCCAGGAAGTGATTGATGTGGCTTCTGTGCTTAAGCCAGTGTGTAACCCCTTATTTCAAACCAATGAACACTCGCTCCCCTCGCATCCTCAACCCGACGCGTTTGGCACTCTTCCCGTTTGATGGCGTCTAAAGACTCGAGAACTCCTTAAATGCCGAACTCTCCCAGAATGTCAGCTGAAAGCAGGAATGATGAGAAAGGTGATGTGGTGAATAATGTCTGTTTGGAGTCAGTCTGCCAGGAGTATAGAAACTGTCCGTGGAAATTGAAGGGTTTCATACGATAGGAATCATAATTGGATGAGAGGCAGGTAGATTCCGTGGTTGGACAAACTTCCAAATTGAAAGAAGTGCTGAAGGATAGGATAATTCATGAGCTTAGGCAGTGAAAAATCTGCAGTTTTATATACTTTAACTATATCTGATAGTGGAATAAATCATGCATTAGTTACAATCATACCTAATAGTACAATGTATTTCTTCTTTCCTTCCCAATATACCAAGTTTATTGTTCAGACTCACAGTAAAAGTAGCAGCGCTCTTCTATTTCTTGTTCCTACAACACCATGATCTGTTGTGACAGAAAAAAATCACAATATATGTCGATGAAGGTTAGACATCCAGATAATACGATACGCCAAAAAACAGTTACTCATTGACAAGCAACTGGATATGATTTTCAAAATCA